TGATAGTAGAGCTCTTGTCTATTTCAAGAAAGCTCTCTACCACAGCCCCCAAATGTTTCCATGTAATTACTCAGAGTATTCCCAGATTATACCCACAGGGAATTCAATTCAGTTCACTTCTCTGAATTCTGTCCCAGATGTAGGTGGTGAGCTTCAAGCTAAGGTTCTCAAATCCTCGAAATTTTATATGCCAATTCTGACTTACACCATACCTCACAAGACCTGGACTTTCTTCCTGTCCAAGTGCACTCATTCTTTAAGGCCTAGTGTTACGACGATCTCAACTATGATACTCTCTAAGTCATTCCATACTCCATCCTCCCAATACACACCATCACTCAAGCTACACTGACAGTGCTCTTGTTTTTTCTAGGTTATTGGCTCCATGATACAAGTAATCTAGATTTGTGGGGTATTTTTGTAAACTCCTAAAGTACATACAAATGGTTTGATTTTATAATACAGCAAATTTTCAAAAGCCCATTGGACTCTGAAGTTGAATTCCAAAATGAAGCAAAAATCCAAGGTAGGTAATGACATGGCAGAAGAGTCTGTCTATTCCTGATGTCATAGACCATTTTGATGTTCCAGGATTAATTTGAGCCTCAAAATTCTCCTCAGATCCTTCTGAATATGTCACTCCCCCACCCCAAATTTTCTGACCTTCTCTGAACTACATTCACAGCTATCAATAGAAGTATCCCTGTTTGTTCAGTAGATTATTGTTTTACATTCATATCAAATGAAAATAATAAGAATAGGTAAAACACAAGCAGTCTGACTCTGTAGGATATACTTAGTGTAGTATTTTTATTGTTGACGTGTCAAAATATATGACTAAGTAAATTAAGAGAGGATGAGTATGTTTTGGCTCAGAACTCCAATGTGTATTGTGATGGGGAAGGAGTGGCAGCAGGAGAATGAGGCAGCTGGTCACAGTGTATCCACATCCAGGAAGTAGGGAAAAATGAATGCTGGTGTTCAGCTTGCTGTGTCATTTTTATTCAGCTCAGAATTGGTTAGTGGGAAGATCCTTCACACACTTAGGATGTGTCCTTCTACAACAGTTAATCTAGAAAAAGTCCCTGATGGACGTGCCTGGGGGCTTATTTTCATAATTACTTTAAATGTCATTGAGTATTCCCTGATACTGGCAAAGGTCTGGGAACTTAAAGCAATAGGGTATGGTATAAATAACACAAGCCAGGCCTAGGCCCATGCTTTATTCCCATTAAAAGATTGTCTGTGATCCCAGAGAGTAGGCACTCTGCTAAAGAAACCACAGGGAAATTGTTGGTACTTCATGGAGAGGCACATAGCACAGCTGAGCCCAGTCATTCCAAAGTTGATTCATCCAGGTACAAGGGATGGATGTGAGAGAAGGAAGCCACCAGACCACAGTGGGCAATGAGTAGACCCCAGTCAGTTTCTTTAGTGGAAGTAGAACTGCCTTGATGGAATCGACATCTGTGTCTGACTTTGTAAAATATGATGTCTGATGCAAAGTTGTTTTTCATTGTAAAGTTAAGGGAAAACTTTTACTTTCATCAGCAGTTATTTAAATGTCCTGTTATCTATTCAGGATTCCTTAGCTAGTGTGAGAATGGACTAGACATTAAACACCAGATAAGTAGCCCAAGTTCATTACATTATAGTTGTGACAGTGGAAATGACTGTCTACACACCCTTCATATTCTAGAAGTAGAGTGTCCCTCAAGCATCATACTTCTGCTTATTAAGTGGCTACAAGATAGCAAATAAAGCCTGTCTTGGCTTCTGACTTACTCAGTGCCTGTGGAATATCTAGTAAGTACAAGACTTTTATTGAAGATTATTATCTGCCTACCTGGCTTCTTAATGTGCACTTTAGCTGGCTGTTTTTCCATTCTAAATTGAGGGGAACATCTTCAGGCATTCTTTTTAATATAAGGTCAAGATCGACTGCTTGGGCACAATAGCTGTGAGTAATTTAACACAGTCCATGCCATTCACAAGCAATTCTGTACTCCTATCAGTAACAGACTGATCCATCACAGAGATCAAAGCACCAATTACTTCCAAAAGACTGGAGCATTGGAGAGCTGTATCAACTCAAAAATGATTTGTTCACATTCATACACCGTTAAGAGAAGCACTAAAAGCACTTTCCAGTTTTCCTTTGATCTCATGTGAACACTAGCCAAGGTCCATCAGAAATGAACTCCTCAAATGAGGTTTTCTCAGCATATTCTTTGGGAAGGAATCGGGGAAGCTTTTTAAATAGTGACATTTTTAGACTTTGCAGTCACACATGCTTAATTGTTTTTCTCCTAGAAGAGTCTCATTTTAGGACAAACCATGCTTTAATGATATTATCAAAGTGAAAAGCAAAGAATAGAACATCGCTTGTAAAATGGTCTGCATGTGGTTTCATATAGATGAAAACTGAATGATGGACTGGTGAACATGAAACTTAATCTTTCCTATTTTCTTTTCTTTTTTGAAGTACCTCTCAGAGATCAAAGCTTCATCAAAGAAAATTGGCTGGGTCATATATTGGATGCATTTGAAGCTACTAGATCTGATTTTCTTCATCCACTATGTCCAGCATCTAAGACTTGTCCTAAATCTCTGAGTAGACTTGCTGCAATCTACAGACTGTACTTGGACCAGACCAGTCTCACCTATGAAGTTATCAAGTTTTTGTAAAGCATGGGGCAAAGTTCTTGTGGCTAGCTGGCAAGAACAAAGGCACACCAAATCTTCCACACTATGTCTCCTTAAGTTTTCCTTTGCAGACTCCTGGGGTTTCTGTATCCTGTTGCTTGGGTTTAATCAATTCTACACAGCTGCTGGCTTTCCTGTAAGAGTATGTATTTACACACCCATAAAAACAAGGAGTGTCAACATATTTATAGCCAATCTTTATAGCCTTAGTGGAAGGAAAAAGGAAAAACATGTAAAGATGTAATCCAATTTTTGCCAGCCTGTGAAAGAACAGGGGCTCACCAGAGGGAAACTTTTTGAGAGGGCACTCCCAGGTGCCTCCTTTCCCCCAAGAGGCACACCAGGCTTAGAGTTAAACCACTAGCAAGGCTTATGTACCTTGAAATCCACTCCTGTCCAGAAGCTCTGGTTCTCTTAGGTCATAGAAAGAGTCGAGGAACCCAAACAATCTGCCCCAATTTACATATTTCCTTCAAGATGGAAAAAAAAGAGACTGAATATTTCCACAAATTGAGGCAATTTCCAGAATCCCTATATAGTGTTAAATCCACTTGTGGTCAGTGAAATTATGGCCATAAAATAGATTGCACAATCAACTATTCCTGTGGAGAAAAAGCCATTTGCTCTTCTGATTCCCACAGAGCTAGTAGAATATACTCTGACAGACACAAACCAGGTCTGCCAAGACCTGTGCAAACAGAACTATCCTTGTACCAACAGTAAACAGATCTAAGCTTGAACTATAGAGACTCATAATAGAAATATATATTGCCTTTTATCTTCTTCTCAGTGAGTGGAGTGAGGTGTCAGGAGTTATTGCTGTAATATCAGCAGAGAAGTGCTATTTTTCTCTTTCAAGTATGTGCGTAGGTATGCATGGAACAGCACCCATGATTATAGGACTGCTCTGCAAGCCAGGTTCTTAGCAGCTTTTGGAAAACACATAAAATTGGCTGATAGCATCATCTTTGCTCACGGCTTCAAATTGTTCCTAGGAGCCATGAAAGAAGCTGTCTGAATTTTGTTCAAGCTCAGAGAAAAAGAATAAAGAAAGACAACATGCTGCCATATAGCTAAGTCACATAACACAATTCTGAAACATAGAAAAACACATGGGTGAGTTTTCATTAAAGATTCACTGTAAGTGTACAGTGTCCACAGGAAAAGAGAGAAAGGTGATGGTAGAGCCTACTGAGCTCCTGGATCATGTGTGAAAGGTGAGAATTAAAAGAGACAAGTACTGATCTACTGATTTTTACAAATAGCTAACTAGGGTAAGTATAATTTCTCCACATTGGTTTGGGTTGCTTTCTTTGATGCCAAAGCATTTAAGGCTAATAACTCAATTAACCTCCTATCCCCCTACTAACTAGATTTATGGACTGCCAAGGGAGGCAGCTCAGTATTAAGGTTTAGCTTGTATATAATTTCTTTAAAGTGAACAAAGAAAACCTTGCCACAAAACTAAGACCTTTCTGCCTATCTAAAATCAATTCTTTACACTTTCTAATATAATTAGTATATTAGTCAAGTAAAGTAAACAAAATGATCTCCAAAATGACAAGTCATTAATTAGGACTTAATGCCAAACACAAAGACTACTGTTCACAAGGAGTGTATAAGCTTCTTGTTTCAATTGTCCTTGATTTAATGATACCCATTGAACTTAATAACCTGTAATTTGAGTTTTATCAAATATACCTGGAGGATATAAATAGAATTGAACTATGATTTAGACTTGCTTATGGTAACACAATTTCCTCTATCCCTTCCCAAAAGTTACAGTAATGCAATGAGAGGAGAGGGATGTTTTGTAGTAGAAATATAGTCCATCGTTCATTTTGAATAATAACATTTCCATTTCAGTGATTAAATGGAAGGGGTAACATGAGATATCTCATTAGATCATGGATGCCACATGACTTCTCTAATTCTCTCAGTCATTCCTTACTCTTCCTCTAGTCATGAACATCTTCATCCTTCCTTCAGAAGCAGAATTTCTTTCTTTTTTCTTTTTAGATTTTTTTTTATTTATTTACTATGTATACAGTCTTCTGCCTGCATGCCAGCAGAGGGCACCAGATCTCATTCAAGGTGGTTGTGAGCCACCATGTGGTTGCCGGGAATCGAACTCAGGACCTCTGGGAGAGCAGTCAGTGCTCTTAACCGCTGAGCCATCTCTCCAGCCCCCCCAGAGACAAGATTTTAAAGTCCTTAGCAACCTAGAATATTGAGAGCAGCAGTGATGCTGCAAAGTCAAGAAAGAAGAGCAATATCACAAGAGAAAGGCTTACCTGAATGCTGGCTGTAGAGCGATTCTTCCGGGTAGTAGTAGTAGCCATGGTGGTGGTGGTTTCCATGACAGTGGTAGACATTTCAGGTGGCATGGAGGTCGTCTGTGTTGTTCCAGAGACTGATGGGACTTCTCCCACGAGCCGAACACTTCCATTGATCTTAATATTAGGGTTGTTCTCAGCTGCCATGTTCAGTACTTTCAAACCATCATAATAGAGCCCAGAGAGCTGGCCTTGGAAGAGGCGTCCTTTGTCCTTTCCTCCAATGGCTATTTGAGCCTGGGTGTTGAAGATGGTTAACTGCCGGCCTAGTGGATTAGGTGGAGGAAATACTATTATTTCCATACATTTCTGCTCCTTGCCTTACCTATTCTGTACGGAGTAAGCATCTAATAGGCTTCCTTGAACAACTGAAGTGGACAAAATGCATAAGAAAATTTCACTACTGAGATTGATGAGTAACATTTCATGATAATTATCTCTTCCACTGTCTAGATAGAAATCCCACATTACCAGAATAATTGAGTATTTTTTTTTTATCATTCTAAGGAAGAAGATACCTTGGTTTAAACATGAACAGTTGTACAGTCTCCTGAGACATATAATTGAGGATGACAGAAACATCCAGTCAGATCATGACCAGAATGAATCACAGATGCCTAGTCCTTTGATTATAAGCTACAAATTAACGTAATGACAACAAAAAAGAATGATATTTGGCAAACAGAAACTCAATGAGGTGTTTAGAACATTGAGTTTAAAAATTAGGTTCAGTAATTAAATGAAATTTACTGAAATTAAACTGCAATTAAGAGGATCAGATTCATTGCATGCTTACAAAAGTGGACACTCTAGTCACCAGGAATAGAGTTTTCATAAAACTTCATGGTGAGTAATAGTCTATCAGAATTTGCTATTTCACAACATCGTGATAGATGTATAATTTGGAGGGATGTATGATCAGTCAATAGATTATTCTCTTAGATGGGGGAGTAATTAGCATTGATAAAGCTTCTAGAATGGGAATGTAGGTGAGGATGAGGTAATTCTAAAATGGTTTTAAGAAGATATGGGCAGAGTAATCAGAATATATTTTGAGCATGCATGAAACTGTCAAATAATAAAATTAATCAATAAAATTGAATTTTAAAAGGAAGATGGGTACCGACAAAGCAAACAACTCATAAAAGTCCTTGAATGCTGTAGAGACATGGTAATGGATTGGAAAATATCAATAGTTAATCTTATATCAGTTTTTCTTATGGGTACTATTTTTACTTCTGTGGCAAAAAAGCTATCAGAAAAAAATCATGGCAGAGCAGTTCAGAATGCAGCATTCAACAATATAGGCTTACTCTGAAAGATTTCTACTTATTTTTAAAGTCAAACTAGGTCTTTCCCTGGGGGAGACAGCTTTTATAACATCGTTGTAATTTATCATGACAGCAACACAATAAGGCCTTCTCATGTTATTAATCTTTAGATTAATTCTATTTGCTTTCCCATATGGAGGAGGGAGGATATACCTATTCGTAGGATTAGATACATTCATTTTGGAGTTTTCCTTTGTCAGTGATCAACATATCCACTAATTCTTCATCTGATCACCTTGATTATTTTAGGTGTAAATAACTGGAAACTATTTTCTATTTTTCATGCCTGCTTGGTAAAGCAATATGCTTTTCCCCTCTTAAGTCTACACATATGAACAGAGGTATGTTATAGTGTTTTCTTCTCAGATTTTATCACCAATAAATCAAGCTCAAGTCTTCACAATGCACAGCTAGCCTAGATTTCTAAAATGGAATGTGTATATACCAACTTTGAAGGTATGGAAGAGAAGGAAAAGGAAACTGCATATGTTCAGAGTGGACTCTTCAGACAAGTGTCAATTTTATCATCTGGTGAGTTCTTAAGGTTTATTATTAGAATGATTTCTAAACAACAGTACTCTGATTTTAGACTGGGGAACTTTGTCAGGGCAGAAATGACCCACGCTTCATAAGAATCTTGGAACAATACAAAAGGATCTCATACTTTAATGATAACAGAATTCCCTAGGCCCTAGGGATGTAATCAATGCATTCCATGCTTTCCCACAAATCCCTTCAGTGTCCTGTGATTTGCTACCATTTGACAGTTGCATAAGTTTTGCTTTTGACTTCTTCACACGAGATGCAATAAGTTCAATGCACAGTGGTGTAGGGTAATGGGCTGAAGTTCACACATATTTCTTTGGAAGACATAAACTTACTACAGTAGAAATGAGATAATAGATGCAGAGAATAATTTTTGCTTAACTTCATATCAGCATTTGGAGCATCTTAACCTACGGATTTAGAAGAAGCCATACAGTGGGAGATTTCCAGGATATAACTTTAGTATCTTAAAATAGGTAGCTTCCCTTTGCAAGGTATCTTGCATGTAGACAACTGTTTTCCATTTATAATAGCATCTTTCTCTTTCACTCTCTTCCCTCTTCCTCCCTCTCTCTTTTCTATGTAGCCTAGTATTGGTGATTAGTTAATGGCTGAGTAGCTTTGACCATATGTAGATGTTATTCTAATATTCTTGGAATACTTCATAACACTAACTTCTTATAATGGTCCTCATCTTACTTTCCTGGAAAGATTCATTTTGTCAATACTTAAAAATTAAAGACCATCAGAGAAAATTGAAGCTCAAACTGGAAATGATGGATTGCCTTCATTCTATTTACTATAGTTCACTCCATAAAGTGGTCATTGCTTATTCAAGAATGACTGGAGGATAAGGAAAGGCAGAGCATGTTTGAGGCCATTAGACTGGAGTTGTTTTAGTATTGGTTATCACTGCTTTACTAAGGAGACCCTACCACTCACTTCATAGATCCAACACACTGGTGGGTAAGACAGAGAAGGGGGTATCCAAATTTCAATTTCTCCTTCACGCCATAGGAAGTGTGTGTGGGTTTCTGTTAGCTTGTTTGCTTGATAGTCAATGGCTAAGTATTTTTTTCCTTTTGTTTCATAACCTTCTCCTAGCCCTCTGCAGTTTGCCTAGGTGGTTAAGGACAAAACTAGAAATCACTCTAGGAAGAGAGCACTCTGTCTACTCCCATGTCTTCCTGTCATTGCTGCATCTCTCTTTAGCTACAAAAGAGATCATGAACAATGGAGAAACAGTTTCAATACCCTCTCCTTATGAATGATGTACAGGATTGAAAGGAGAAAGGTTCTGTGTGTTTTTTTTTTACCCGATATGTCTGAAAATATAAGTCAGATATCATTCTCATTGCTATGACTGATAATGTGTAAAGTTTTAGATAAAAATATCATTATACATGTGCATTTTAATAAAATGTGCACTATATATGCATATATTTTTGGAGTCTGAGAATTGTTCTATCAGCAATAACATGAAATTTTATGATAACACCAGTACAGGATTCCTAGCTAGCATGTAACCGTTTGTTTCATCTTAGATGCAAATCATTTTGGAAGTCATTATTTGTTGCTTCATTTTAACATCAGTTTCACATAGGCTTACATTAAATCTTTGCACGTCTCTCGTCAGTGTTGCACAAAGACAAATTAATTAAATCTCAGAATACCCTGGGGGAATAGGCAGTATTATTTCTCCTCTCCTCGTATGGGAAATCAGAGACACAAAGAGGTTAACTGGATTGTCTAAGGCCAGAAAGTCAGTCAATAGTAGACAGAGCCAGCAAACAGACTTGGGAATCCTGTGACCCAGCTCTCCTCTCCAATGACAGAAATAATTCCAAAGAAATATTCCCTGTACTTTTGAATGCACCTTTCTCATCATCCTTTGATCTATTTACCCTTTATATTCTTCTTCACAAACAAGGTCTTTCAGTGCAAGTTTTCCTTTTTATATGAAAGTGAAGTTAACTAGACAGAGGAAGAGATAAAAAGAATAGATGCTACTCACCCAAATTACATAAAGAGTAATTCCAGGTAAAACAGTAGAGAAGATAATCTTACAGTTTGCAAATTAGTTGTCCAATAACATATATGTACATATACATATATATTAATAAAGAAGCCAAGACATTCCCACCCATACCACCTCAACCACCCTTCCCCATCCCAGCACTCCACATGTGTAAAAGGGCTTCTATTTACATGAAAGCCAGTTGAAAATGAAGCTATTAGAAGGAAAACTAAAAGCCTACTAACCACTTTATAATGGTTTGTACAAATGAAAATGCCTGGCATGCTATTAAACTTAGACTTCAAAAGGCAATGGAATAAAATAAAATATTATTAACATAAAATTGAAAGAAACACAAAAGTTCTCTCAGGCACATGAGACTTCAACATGCATCTAGTTCACTGTTTAAAAGTGAGGCACTGCTGTCTTTAATGTTAAAGGGACTTTATGAGCTGTTGATTACTACTCAAAATTATTTGCTTTTTAGAGTTATCCTTAATTTATTTTTAATTAGACCACATATGTTGAAAACAGGGCACGCAGTTAAGATTTGGTAAGGATTTTCTATGTCTAAACATCTGAATGTTTTCACCCAACTAACAATCACACACAAGTGTCCTTCATCTCTTTATTTGTAGTATCCTCAAATATTTCACATATGTTACTCAATCATAACACGGCAAAATGTAAGGGGTTTTTTGAGATCTCAAGACAAGAGTTAGATTATACTGCCTCAAGACAGAACAGAACTTCTAGTTTTTTTTGGAGATAAGAAAATTTTCATTACTAAAAAGCAACCATGTATCTAGTAAGCAAAAGAAACCACATAGAAAATTCTTCCAGGATTTATAACTGCTGCCCTCTTTTATTCATGGAGTGGTTGTTTCTGTCAGCAAATCAGAACTTGCTGCTTTGATTTTCACAAGACTTTTCCCTTAACAACTCATTGCCTTAACTACTTACACTTCGTTGCATGAAACATTGTACGAATGCACGAGGGTATCACACCACCAAAGTGTGAAACAAGGTTGTTTTGTTTTAGTTTCCTGCAGCAACTGGAAAGTAATTAAGCTCTCCTAGAAACTTTTGCCTCTGATGGTTTGAATTTAGAGGCAAAATCTGTTCTTTCTCAGCCTTTTCTTTGTTTAAAAACAAATGTTAACACATAGTGCTTCTTTTATAACATTTGTTTTAAGCAGTTTAAGTTACGAGAGTTGATCTAAGATATTTTTTGTTTGATTTGGTTTGGTTTTTTGGTTAATCATATTATAGACAATAAAGCCAAAACAGCCTCAAGATGTAAGTTTAGCAAGTTCTTTTGAAAATTCTTTAGAAAGCTTTGGTGAGAGGTAATTTAAAACAAATTAAGAAATAATGTCATGCAGTGGTTAAGTTCTCTCTCTTTCTCTCTCTCCTTTCCTCCCTCCCTCCCCCCCCTCTCTCTCTTTCTCTCCCTTTCTTTCTTCCTCTCAAGATTTTCCTAGAATTCGTTGTTTGTGGCTGTCATGCTGAAAGCAGGCTAGATGCTAGTCCCTTTAACTGTGTTTTAATGGCGATGTATTATTGCATGATTTATCAACATATGGCAGGTGGAAGCTGACACAAATTATAATGAAAATTAAAACAGTCATTTATGCAGCAGGCGATTATCATTTAAGGAACATTTATTTGCAGGCTTTAAAAATGAGGGTTTAGAATCAAATGATTTTTAGAATGAAAGTTTTAACGACCGTTACCTTTTTCCTGCAGCCACTCCTCTACAGGCCGGTTATATTTGAAGGGGATTTTCTGTTTTACCATTTGGAGGCGTTCATTATCAGTGTTGCCTTTAAAGTTTAAAAAACAGCTTAAAGAACAATCTGAAAAGTCAATAGGTCATTAAAAAACATCCTAGGTGTTCAGTTTGTTTTATGAAGATTTTTAGAGAGAGATATCAATTTATCTTTAGTAGAGGTGGAGTTGAAGTAGCTCTGCCCTTGGATGACAGGTCTGAAGTCAGATGAATCTCAACTGTGCAGTGCTCCATCATGCTTTGGTCATGTGATTTGGGATATAGATCTGTAAGTGGTTGGGCTATTTACAGATATCTCTTTACTTTTTTTACCCTGTCTCTTCCTCCTTCTTCCAGCTACCACTAGTTAGTCCCAGTGTAGCTCAGTGATCTCAAGGAGTTGAATAATTCTTCCAGTACCGTATCAACTTCACAATGCAAATGGAGCATGTGGATCATTAGTCATGTGGATGCTACTGTTTTTCTGATGGGTTCCATTCAGTATCACAGTGCGCTTGCTGCTTCTCTCAAGCATCTATATTTGCTTTCTCCGAATTCTAGAAAAAGGCATCAGAGAAAATGACCAATCCCATGCTAGCCAAGGGAGACTGGCCAAGAAAGTGTTCTAGGGATTTGTTACATTTTTTGTTTGTTTATTTGTTTGTTTGGTATCGGTTTCTGAGTAGTTCTGTAATTCAGATTAGCCTTAACACATGGTAACTAGCCTGCTGCTGTCCCGAGGGCTTAATTAAAGGGAAATTTCTTCCTCCAAAAGGAAACCCTGATATTACTGTACCTATGTGAAACTGGCAGAGTAGTACAGGTGGTACTGTAGGTCTCTATCCTTTTTATTGCACATCTTAAGCAGATGGGACCCATGAAGAACACAGCTACAGGCAAATTTCTGAACATTTACATTTTATTACTTGCTAGAACATGCTGGCTCAGCTGTTCATTCTCTCTCTCTCTCTCTCTCTCTCTCTCTCTCTCTCTTCTAGTCTCATCCCTTCCTGAACAAGAATCCATTCAAAAATCCTGTTAGGAATATTTCTTCCCAGCATGAAATATCAAATTAGTTTCAGGCTCAAACATTGTGTTTAACTCCTGGTATGGCCCCTCTTCCTTTTGTAACTGTGATTACCACTCCTGGGTGGTTTTTCTAATTAGGAGAGACTTGGAAATTGGTGGTGTGGAGTTATACCCCTAATGAATATGCTTCCAATAACAAAATAATGACGGCATGCTTTGGGAACTGTTTTAGCTCATTGGCCAACCTCACATTGATTTAGTTAAAAACAGTTCACTGCAATTCATCATGTTTGGCTCAGAGCCCTGCATTAAAACTTAGGGAACTCCATTCCAAATTACCAATATTTATAAAAGGAAATACAAATGGTAAAGCAGGTGGCTCAGGAGCAAATTGCACAGAAGTCTAGTAGCCAGAGTGTATATTAGGTTCTAGCAAAGCATCAGACATTTCAATCACAGAGCCATTGCAATGCAGTGGTTCTCATTTGTTGAGGAGATGTCATAAGTGACAATTAGGGGAAGGTAGGAGACTGGGTAGTACTGTTGGGGGATGGTTGTTCCCTATAAGCTTCTCTGAAGAAAACATTATTCTAAAAGTCTGAGTCATCATTACTGCCCTGGAATTTAAACAAACAATTCACAGCTCCTAAGAAGTAACTATGGATCTGCTTCTAGCCCACGTTGCAGATCAGTATCTGCCTACATAAATTATAACCTTCCACCATATCAAAGGGCAGTTGCAGCTCATTGGATGCTCTCCTGTCCAGAAACTCATGTCTTTGGCTTGTTGCCTAGCTCTATCAAACAAATAAAAACTTACTGGGGGATGGATAATGCACATAAAGGGAACTGAACAATAAACAGGTTTGGATTCTCATGGATAATTTAAAGTTTTTCTCCAAATGTAGCAGCTTGAAAGGTAGGAGACAACAAGCAAAGAGGAAAAGTCAAGAAGCAACATCATTTCATGCTGTCTCAATATGGCCAGAGTGAAGGACATTGGCTTAACTGCTCCATATAGCTCCAATTACTGATAGTGATGTTTGTTGTTCCTGGAAGACAAGTGTATTTTGTATTAAATTTATCCAAAATAAATTGGGTAACTTCTCAAATGTCTTCATAGAAAAGGGGTACTTTTCTGAAAAGAGTCCACATATCTAGTTGTTACTTCTACCCAGCAGCTGGCAGGTAAGGTGTGTACTGCCACAGCACAATGAGATGTCACGGTGAGGAATGTCAACTGAATTGTGTTGGATTCTCCTTTGATACATTTTTCAGCTTTCAGTTTTCTGTATTTATTATCATTGTTGGCTACATGCCTAAATACAGTGATGATTTTCACCCCACTTCCTGGAATGAATTAGTATGGTCAAAAGGAAATATAAAATTTGAAGTCTTATTAACATGAAGCAAAAATGCAGAAATAACAACTAAAAATCCAAATTGTCAGTGTCATCTACATACCAAGTTAATTAACTCACTGGCTATGTCGATTTACTTCCTCTAAACATACAGTGTTTTTAGCTCTCCCAAAGAGCCCAGCACCCACAATTTATTTTCTTTTAACTATAAAGTAGTGTAGGAAATCATTTAGGGACATAGTAAAGGCTGGAAAGGAGGAAGCTTTGAGTTCCAAATGGAGAAAAGCACAGCTGGAATCAACCTCTGACCTTTCTGAAAATAGAAAGAGAGAGTCCATTCTTCTCCACCTCAGCTTTAAAGACATTTAGAAGCGTGGTTTAAGTTTTGCATGCCAGACTGATACCATTTGGCAGTGAGGACAGTGATCTAGCATGCTGTTAAAAGTCATGAAAGATGGAAGGCCATTTGGAAAACCACATTGGTTTAAGTCACCACATTAACATTGTTCTTAGTCTCTTTTCATGTTCTTGTTGGCTTTTATTTTAAGTTACCTAAAACACTAGTAAACTCTGTTTAAGAAACAGGTGCAAGTGAATGAGTTCCTTTGCCCTGAGCCCCATTCCATATATTGACAGAAGGGCAGATCTTATAAAGGACTAATCTGAAAGCTGCACAAACCACTTTAAATTCATACACATTCTTATTAAATACACAATGAAATTAACTTGTACATCTCATATAACAACTAGTATGGTACTCAACAAAAATAATACTATATTCAGGATAGAATGGCCTTATGAACAGTAACTTAGAATGTCCTTCAAATAAAGCATACACATTATTGATTTGACAGAAGCATCAGTTATTTCCCACATGGAGAAACCCATAAATTGTATAAGGATGTCTTGAAATAAGTACTTATGCTAATTATATGAATCTGACATCAGTATAGAGTGGGATTTTAGAAAAATAAATAGCCATGTTTTAGTCTACTTGAAATAGAATGCATACATATTTATTCTCTGTCACTCTTGACAAGGTATTGAGATTTTCATACAATTGGTTTCCTACAGTCTACAAACACTAATATCAAGCAGTTTGACTTCTGGAGACCTGTATAATATGCACTGCAAAATTATAGTATTGTGGAGAGCAGGAGAATCTGATTTGAATCACTAAAGCCCAACTGGTTCATACATATAGCACTGACCATCATGTGGAACTACCTCTAAACTGCCACTTGTGCCTTAACTCTTTAAGGATGGAAATAACAGAGATAGAGTAAAGATAAGCAAGGCAAATTCGCTTTTCAATTGGTCGCCAGCTTATATCAGTATCTCGTTCAAATGAGGACTTGAACTTTGCTAATCACCACAATGAAATAAACATAAAAGAAAATAAAAATGAAATAAACATAAAGATGAAAACACCCTTCAACTGGAGAAGAAGAAAATTCTTACATAAAAGAGAAAGCAATACATCTAACACTATGGTCCAAACATGGGCCATTTTATTAGGAGTTATGCTATTTTTTTAATGTTCTAATCAATTTGGTGTCAATGTTTAAGCTATGGAATTTGGTGATATATCTTTTTTTGGAGCTGTAAATTTACCATTTATTAGCTTTATAAATTTGGGGAAGTCACTTAATATTAGACTCTTCATGTCTCAATTTACCATAGGACTTAATGCTGAGTAATGGGGTAAAACATACATAACAGAAAACACTGAATTTATTTGTGAGAATAATAGTAACATAAATTAACTCCCCTATGGCCCAAAGGAAGCACACTGGTTCCAGGCTTTGTTTCCATGTTGTTCAAACCTTATCAGCTGTCATTCCAAGGACGACTATATCCCATTTGGCCTCACAATGAACAACTGGCCATTAAACACGTAAAAACATTCTAAATATTCCTCTGAATCTCCAGCTGTTTATGTTTCTGTATTTTCTAAAATTTATTCAGCTAACTCCATTTCCAAAGCAAAGTGGGTTTCTAAAACTGCTGAAACTAAAAGAGCAATTCAGGCACTGACAAATGTGATTTCTTGGTCCAGCCACAGGTAATGATGATATAATGCCACTGAGTTGAGGAAGAGTATCTTAAAGGTTCTGGCAATTTTCACCAGACTGGCAGAAAATGCTTTTCTGCAAGTAGACTATTAATACCATCTGAAGTGTTGTCAAGCACTTAGCCATGCTAATAGGGATAACTGTAACAACACCTACATGAAATTAATGCCAGGGGTACTTTTGCATTTTGTTTTGAGCTCTGGAATTCAGGAAGAAAAGTTTTCTTTATTGCTCTGTCAACACTAAAGAAATGAGAGTGTGAGGCTAATGAATGGTTGGAGACTGAGGGTATGGACTACGACTGCTGGCAAAGAAAATCGATGCTGGTAGCTCAAGTCATAGGGCAGTTCACAGGTTCTTGCCATGCCTGTGTCCCAAAGGAACACTTTGTGAGTTTCAAAGCAAATATATAACACTGAAAAAAATGTATCAGGGAACTCTCTGAGTGAGGTTCTGGCCACATTCCTGGAGTTTTCCCAAAACAGCTTTCTTAAGAGTCAGAATGGTAACAGTACTGCCCAAAGGGTATATAAAATGTTCAGTCAGTTGTAAGGGATGGATGGACCTCAACAAAGAGCTAATATCTTATA